GTAGAATGAGACTAGGGTCAGGTATGAACAGTGGGACTGTAAAAGTAGAATAAGACTAGATTTGGGTATGAAAATTGAGACTGTATTTACTGTAGAAGTAGAATGAGACTAGGTCCAGGTATGAACATTGGGCCTGTATTTACTGTAGAAATAGAATGAGACTAGGTCCAGGTATGAACAGTGGGACTGTATTTGATTGTAAAAGTAGAATGAGACTAGGTTCAGGTATGAACATTGGGCCTGTATTTGATTGTAATAGTAGAATGAGACTAGGTCCAGGTATGAACATTGGGCCTGTATTTTACTGTAAAAGTAGGATGAGACTAGATTTGGGTATAAAAATTGAGACTGTATTTACTGTAGAAGTAGAATGAGACTAGGTTTAGCTATGAACAGTGGAACTGTATTTACTGTAGAAGTAGAACGAGACTAGGGTCAGGTATGAACAGTGGGACTGTATTTGACTGTAGAAGTGTAATCAGATTAAGACAGCATGTGGCTGTTACAGTAGTCATACTGGCTGGGATCATTCAAGGCTGATGTAAGTCAGGTTGGTCCACTATATAAGGGGGAGACAAAATGCATCCCAAAGTGATGCTGAATTTAGGTGACACCAAGTTTGAGTAAATATATATAAATTTAATTGACAGGCCTTTAACACCAAATTAAATCAATTTTTATTTATATCAAAGACATTAAACAGTGCATGCACTTGCTGCTGTATGGTTATCTTTTGCTGAATTCATGAATTAATTAACCTGGAGTTCCCCACTTATTCCTGCTAACCAATTCACCCATATTATGGTACACGTTTAAATACAATGTTTCTTACTTAATGGGAAACATCAAATTTACCTATAGTGAGTAGCATATCAATGTTACTGGTCATTTTTATCTAAATATAGGAGTGACCATAAACTCAAGATATCTGGCCTACCATTAAAGGACACTGACTGTTGACTTCTTGTGCAACATATAGCATTACAGCTATACTCTCTCCATGGGCAGTACAGGTGTTATCTCCAAAGAATAACAAAGACACCTAGAATGAAATCAATGGCTTTCTTGACCACCTGTTATGCAAAAACAGCTAAGACTTGGAATAAACAAAATCTTGTGAAAAACTCCACATCAAATTGAGAAGGTAGAAAATGCATGGTAAGCCTGCTTACCACAAATAGAAGGAACCAAAAGCATAACCAAACTAGTCGAACTGCTATCAAGTATGACATATGTCCATATAAAAGGAAGAGTGAAATTAGCTGTAGCTGATCAGATTTAAAAAAAAAAATAAATTATTCTGGGACTAGTTGTTAAAGTCACAATAATAAACAGAAAGGTGTAACGAATTTGTTGTTATTTTAATATGAACGTTGTTTAAATTAAGTTTATACTTAGAAACATACAGAGCTTATACTGTTAGATAGGTATTGTGAAACTCCCGCCTATTTTCCAAAGTTGTTGAAGATTCTTGAGAGTAAGAATCAACAATATATCTATATACGTGAACGCTTTAACCAGTATTGTTACGTAAGACTGTATTTTCTAGAAAACCTTCCCATGGCTATAAATATAACCAACGCGGCGCGCCAAGGAGAGTGCCTATTATTATTTCGCTAAAGTCAGTGTACTATAAACTTCGAAAGCTATAACTGTGATTTTT